CCACACCTCCTAATAGTGCCATTCCCTGAAATTATGGGGGCCAATTACATTCAAACTAACACATTTTTGGTCATGATGTTTTATCACAGCAAAAAGACACCCTAAAACAGAGTTCAAATGTTATACTAAGATTGATCGTTCTTTGTAAAAGAAACTTATTAGAAGAGATATTAATAAATAGACAGGCAGACAGCAACATGGCGCGAGCACTGAGGGGAACAGCAACCCCAAACCTTTTGGTTACCTCAGGTATTTTGTCAGTGATGGGGAAAAAAAGAAAGAAAGAAAAAGGCATACCATCTTAGTTACTTTTCTATTGCTGTGAAGAGACACTATGACCAAGGAAACTTATAGAAGAAAACGTTTATTCTGGCTCATGGTTCCAGAGGGTTAAAAGCCCGAGATCACCATGACTGGGAGCATGGCAGCAGGTGGGCAGGCATGAAGCTAGAAGCAGCTAAGAGCTCACATCCTGATCCACAAGTTGAAGGCAGAGAAAGCTAACTGGAAATAGGGTGGACTTTTGACATATCTCTTCCATCAAGGCCAAACCTCCTAATTCCTTCCCAAATAGTTCTACCAACTCGGAACCAGACATTCAAATATATGAGCCTATGGGGGCCATTCTCATTGAGCTCCACTAACCCCCATTCTTTAAGATACTATGGGCATGCAGAGCATAGCAACCACCCTGGTAGGGCCTATGGGCCATAACAACCAGTTGACCAATCAACACAGGGCAAACCCTCCAAGCCCGGAGGCACACCAATCCTGAGCCTGTGCATACCCCTAGACACTCCCCTTACGCTGCCCTATAAGATCTCTATGCAGACGCTTCGAGCTGTCTTTCCTAGCCATCCGCCATGGTGGGTGGATGAAAGACCCCCCAAGCTATCATGGGGTTAGCTCGTTAAACAACTATAGTAAAGCCTCGTGCAGTTTGCATCCAAAAAAAAAAAAAAAAAAAAAAAAAAGATACTATGGGCATGGCTTTAAGACATGTCTATGATTCTAGTGCTCAGAAGGTAGAAACAAGAATCACCCAGTTCCAGGCCAGCTCGGGACATCAAAGACCAACACAGTGCCCAGGGCAGATCCTCCTCTCTTCCCTCTCAGCTTGTTTTCCTAATTGTCCACTTTCACGTCCTTCGGATGAGAGCACCTGTTTTCACTGCTCCTATTCTTTCTAACAAAGTGCTCCGGTGGGAAGAACCCTGCATGTGTAGTCAGGAAACCAGGGCTTAAACTGGGCTCAGTGTGTGTCAATATTTCGTTTATGATCTAACAAATAAAGCTTGCCTGAAGATCTGAGTGCAAGGCTAACCAGCCACACAAGTTAGCCATAGAGGCCAGGCAGTGTGGTATACACCTCTAATCCCAGCTCTTGGGAGGCAGAGGCAAATGGATCTCTGTTAGTTCAAGGCCAGCCTCAACCGAAACTGAATCTGTCTAAAAGAGAAACAGCTCACACAAAGGTCATCTCAGCACTTGGGATCCCACACCTTTAAAATCCCAGCACTAGAGAGGAACATAAGGCAGAATGAGACAGGAGCATTGCAGTCTGAGGTCTGGTGGAGAGCAGTGTGGCCTGTAGTAGTCATACTGAAGACAGGATTGCCCCTTTTGGTCTGAGCCTGGTAAAAGTGAGAACTCTCCAGTGGTTGGCTGCTTTGCTTTTCTGATCTTCAACTTGAACCCCAATATCTGTCTCTGGGTTTTTATTATTCCTGCTACATTAGTGGCTCATGCCTATACTCCAGGACCTTGGGAGAGGCAGGAGCATTAGGAGTTCAAGGTCAGCTTCGGCTATACTGCAAATCCAAGGCAAACCTAAGACTCATAAGACACAGTGTGTGTCTTTTTATTTGCTTAATCTTCATTCTTTAAACTTTAGTTTTGTTTTTCTCAAGACAGGATTTCTCTGTATAAGAGTCATGGCTGTCCTGGAACTCAACTTTGTAGAGCAGGCTGGCTTTGAACTCACAAAGATCTGCATGTCTCTGGCCCCAGAGTGCTGGGATTAAAGATGTGTACCACCATGCCCAGCTTATTTTTAAATTATGTGTATGCATGAATGTCTGTGTGCAGGTATGTGCAAGTGAGTGGAACTGCCCAAGATGGCTGGAAGCTGGAGTTATTGGCAGCTGTGAACCACCAGAAGAGCATACTGGGAACTAAACTCATTCCCTCTGTAAGAACAGTACATTCTCTTAATAGCTGAGCCACCTCTTCAGCCCCAGCCCCCAAACCCCAAAACAACAGAGTAAAGAAGTCTGCTTCCTTGGGCAAACAAATAAAAACACCAGCCACAAGCGATGATACTTTGCCTCTCTTGGCCCTCATCTTTCTGTTCCTGTAGTCCTGTCATCTGGTTAGGGGTGGTGTTCAGCTGGGCTGGCAATGGTTGTGAGCCCTGTGGGGCTACCCCTGTGTACACTGACTTCTGACCTTGGTCAGAGGCAGAAGGCAGACTACATGAAGGGTATAAGAAAGTGTGAAAGCCAACCTGCCATGAAGCCAGCCCAGATGTAGGTCTCAAGGTTTGCCCTAAAGGCCTGCTGGGTGGGGAAGAGGGAGAGTAAGGATGGAATCTTTCCACAGACCTGCTCCATTCCCTCTACCAACAAGGGAAAACAAGGAATGGAGGGCTTTCGATGAAAAGAATATAAAAGCCCGCATGGATTAACTCAATGAAGCATTGTCACTTTTGCTGGATTTCTTTTATTCTTGGGTGGTAGTGAGGTTAGAAAAAAGGTTTCTTGCCGGGTGTTGGTGGCACACGCCTTTAATCCCAGCACTCGGGAGGCAAAGGCAGGTGGATCTCTGTGAGTTCGAAACCAGCATGGTCTACAAGAGCTAGTTCCAGGACAGCCTCCAAAGCCACAGAGAAACCCAGTCTCGAAAAACCAAAAAAAAAAAAAAAGGTTTCTTGTGTAACCTTGGCTGCTTGGCTGTTCTGGAACTAGCTCTATCGATCAAGCTGGCCTCAAATTCAGAGACCTGCCTGCCTCTGCCTCCCGAGTGCTGGGATTAAAGGTGTGCATATGTCAACACCCCCAGCCTAGATTTTCTTTCTTTTCTATTTTATGGGCATTGGTGTCTTGTCTGTGTGAGGATGTCAGATCTCCTGGAACTGTAGTTACAAATAGCTGTGAGCCACCATAGGGATGCTGGGAACTAAACCCAGGTCCTCCAGAACCCTCTTATTTACACAAAAAGAGGAATTGCTGTGGGAACTCATTCAGCCAATAGCCTTTGTGCTGTTGCCCATTAAGGCATCGTCTCAGGTGAACTGATAAGGGGAAGGAGTGTGCTCCTGCTCTTTCAGTGGGGGTCAGAGATCGGATTGCAGTTTAGACCTCACAGTTCTCTGTTTGTCATATTTGAATGACTCCCCAGTAAATACTGACTTCCCTTTATTTCAGGCTCTCGTATTGCAATCATCTGCTACTTTTAGTGCTCCTAACCTTTGGACCATCTCTCCAGCGCCTAGATTTTCTTTATTTATTGTGCATATGTCTGTGAGTGCATGTACACATACCAGAGCTAGCTTGTGGAGGTCGGAAGGCAGCCTGGAAGACTTGGTTCTCTCCTTCTACCATGGGAATTCTGCAAATAACTCACTGTGTTTCCCGGCTGATCTAAGTGAACTCAGTGAGAGTCACCTGCCTTCCCTACCGAGTGCTGGATTAAAAGGCCACCACACCCAGCCCAGGGCCTTGTGTTTGCCACAGAGCTAATACCCCAACTTCTGAACACACCTACACTATTTACAATGACTAGAGGACAACTGGGGTGTCTGGACCTCTAGTCCTAATAATGTTAAGAAATACACAGTCACATATAATCAAACAAACTAAATGATAATTAACAATACATCTTTAAAAAACCAAGTTGAGAGCTGCCACGGTGGCACAGGCCTTTAATCCCAAAACCCCGCCTTTAATCTTATTTATTTATTTATTTATTTATTTATGGCTTTTCGAGACAGGGTTTCTCTGTGTAGCTTTGGAGCCTGTCCTGGCACTCACTCTGGAGACCAGGCTGACCTCGAACTCACAGAGACCCACCTGCCTCTGCCTCCCGAGTGCTGGGATTAAAGGCTGGGGTTAAAGGCGTGTGTCTCCAACGCCGGGCTCCGCCTTTAAGGTTAGCCCCAGCGCTCAGGAGGCAGAGGTCTGGACAGACACAGACACGGAGACGGAGACGGAGACGGGGGTGGGGGCGGGGGGCACAGCCGCAAAGCGCACTACGGGCAAACATCAAGTCTTCTTCCTCTAGGATCCTGACGGCCGCCGCCATCACCCCGTCCCGAAGCCCCCTCCGCACCGCACAGCAAACTAACCCGGGACGGCTAGACACAAGCTTTAAGCCACGGGCGAAGAGCCGGGAACATGGCTGACGTTTCCTCCCCTTGACACCTCTAACCATCCGGGGCGGCGCCGTCTCCCCGGACGACCCCAGGAGGTGTGGCCAGACTCCGGGAGCCACGCCCACAAGGGCCCGGCGCCTCTGCCGCGCCTCCTCCTGCGAGCCTCGGAGGGACCTGCGTGACGTCACTGCACTTCCTATGTAACCATCCGCCGCGGGAGAAAGTAGTCCCCGTCCCCCGCTGACCTCACCCCTCAGGCTAGGCAGCGCATAAACTTCTGGAGCCTCTCCGGACCCGACTGCGGTCCCGAGACCCCCGAGAGACCCTCTCAAACCCCGCAGGCCTGTCTTTCCACGGGGGCGGCGGCGCAAGTAGTCCCGGCTCAAGGGAGGCTGATGGGTTCCTCCGCGACGGGGGTGAGAGGATGGCGACCTCGTCGATGCCGGAGACGGAGACAGGGCCCCGGGGTCCCAGGCCCTTTAGCCGCTCTCGCATTTGCCTGAGCGGAAACCCGGCACCGCCACAAGATGGCGTCGGGCCTGGAGCTCAGGCAGCGCCGGGGACAGCCCCGCGTCGCCAAGCCCCGCGACCGTCGCTGTCAGCCCCCTCCGCAGGGGAGCCCGGGGAGGGGGAGCGAACCACTGACCCCGGGGGCCTGCGGGCCGTACCATTGGCGCCTCATCCGAGGGGACGCGGGGTCCGGAGGGCTGAGCCGCTCCGTGCTCGCCCTGGGTCGGAGGGTGATCCACGCCTCTGGGAGGAGCAAAGGGCGGAGATCGCCCGCCGCCGCGACCACCTTCCCCAGAGGGGCCCCGGCCGAGAGGCGAGGCTTCCCCGTCCTCTTCTGGAAGCTTCCCTGTCCGGGGCTCGAGGAAACCCCGCCCGCCCCGCCTGGTCGGATGCTCAGTCTTTGCATCTGCGGAATGGGCGCACCGATGCCCCCGGGTGGGCACGGCTTGGCCCGACCCGAAAGGCGGACCACTTGTTGCAGCCATGGTCCTGTCTTCTGGCAGAGTGAAAGCCTCGTACCCCGCGCGTCGCTGTCAGGCGCTCCCCCGATCCGATGGAGGAGAACGAGGTGGAGAGCAGTAGCGACGCCGCCCCTCGGCCTGGGCAGCCCGAGGAGCCCTCGGAGAGCGGCCTGGGTGTGGGCACCTCAGAAGCCGTGTCCGCCGACAGCAGCGATGCGGCAGCCGCCCCAGGATTAACGGAGGCCGACGACTCGGGCGTGGGGCAGAGCTCAGACAGTGGCAGCCGCTCTGTGGTATGGACCAGGCGGGACGGTGTGGGCAAGGGCATCCCGCAGAGCTTACTTGTAGAAAACATTTGTTGTTTCTAAAGCAGAGGCCATGCCGTGCCAAACCGCCGTGGTAGGTTTTGTCGTGTTTTGACAAACTCCGTAGTCAAGGGACATACCTAAAACCACTTGTTTCCACATCCTGCAAAAAGGGAAACAGAGGCAGAGCATGTGGACAGAGCCAGGATTCATTATCTGCCGTCCTACCCAGAGCCCTCAGGCTCTGTCAGCCCTTTCTGGTACAAATGTTGATCATCTCACAGTAACCTCAGTCTCCCCGTCTATCAAGTGGAATGGGAATGCCTGATTCCGTATGGGTGCTGGGCTGTAAGGGGAGAAAAACACCCTGATCCGCCTCTTCCTGACCCAGTACTTTGTTCTTGAGTGAGCTACCTAATGTCTTACCCCCACCCCCCACCCCTCTGTCAAGTGAGAATTACAAGTATGTTTATCTCTTTAGTGAGTAATTTTGCAAGGTAGGACTCCACTTGCGGGCCAGTACTAAGCGGTGGCCCTTGTGTGGTTTAGGGTTTCATTAACTCAGCAGAAACGGACCTCCTTTGAGGCTGAACATGTGCTAAATTATGGGGTTACGGCTAGGGACAGGACAGGGGTGGTCCATGTCCTTGCAGAGGACACAACCTAGTGTGGAAAGTATTACGGTGCAGGGGTGTGATAGGTTTGGGCTGAGCACCTGGGTCTGTAATTGGACACAGCTTCTCTGGAGTGTAGACCAACCTGCCATCATGCCCAGTGTGGTGGAGGGGACAATGTCGCTATAAAGTGCTCGTGGAGAATGTCCTAAGCTTGGCTTCTTGGAGGAGGCAGCAGCTAAACAGTGCCAGAAGACTGGGTGCAACCTGGTAATGGGGTGGTGTGGAAGAGTTTGAGGCGGAGGCAGACATTTATGCAAAAGCGCGAACGTTGTTCCTCCTGGCTGTGGTGTGTGGTGTAGAGAGGCCCTTCCTTTAGCCCTGCCTGACTACATCCATGGGCTTCAGGGCTCTCAGTGTCTGGAGAGCTCTCCTGGTCCTCTGTGGGGTGGAAGTGTGGGTACTTTACGTGCTTTGTTTTGGGGATCTGTAGGCTGCTCTGTCCTGCGGCATCCCTGGCTCCTGACCTGGCCCTCTGCTTCCTGCTGCTAGGAGGAGGTATCCGAGAGCATTTCAACAGACGCGTTGCCTCATGGCTACCTCCCTGATTCATCTTCTGTGTCCCGGGGAACAGTGGCAGAGGTGCCAGGTGGCCCCCCAGCCCTGGTGCATTCCAGTGTTCTCCCAGACCCCAGCCTGCTGGTGTCAGACTGCACAGCTTCCTCTTCAGACCTAGGTGCTGCCATTGACAAGATCATTGAGTCCACCATTGGCCCCGACCTCATCCAGAGTGAGTAGGGAGAGGGTGTGGCCCTGCGGAACCCCACAGCCAGCTCTGTGGATGAAGCTACTATGGAGTGTATAAGGGGAACTAATGGCTGTTTCCTAGTAGTAAATGACACAAAGATCAAACAGGATGCCACAGTGAGTTCTTAGTATAATGCCTGGATGTCACAGCGCTCAGTAGTAGAGATAGTCGGAGCCAGGCCAGTAAGATGGCTCAGTTGGTAAAAGTGCCTGCCAAGCAAGCCTGGTGACCACTCCTGAACCCACCCAACAGTGGAAGGAAAGAACCATTTCCACAAAGTTTTTCATCAGATTTCCACATACATGCCCGTATACACACAAGGAACGTGCAATAGGAACGGATTTTTAAAAACAGAAGCAGTTGTATCTGGCTTTGTGCTGGGAGCAATTATAAACACTTGATACACAGGAGGTCACAGATCTTGTCATTAACCTGGCCCACATGGGAACTAAAGGCACAGCAGACACAAAAATGACTTACCAGTGACTCTGATAAGTGGAGGGTGGCCTGGAGTAAGCCCAGGTAGGTGACCCTGAGTTCAAGACACTATGGTGGGTCTTTTATGGTTAGTGACATGCACAGTGTCCCCAGCACCTCACAGAGCTCCGGCCTGGTCTGAGAACCACTCTGAAAAAGATAGTGCAGGATCTGTATCCTGAGGACGTGTGGAGAGGGCAGAGGAAGACATTCTAGACCCTTTTGTCAAAGACTGGACAGCTGGGTTAACTCTGGCATCCTGGTGCCTGGGCTAGCACATCCCCTCACCAGACCTCCCACCAGCCTGCAGTGGAAGTACCCATAGCTCGGGGGGGGGGGGGGGGGGGGGGGAGCAGGGGGCCCCTGGAAAAAGAGAAGGAGCGGTGGGCCTACAGCCAAGATCCCTCTGAGGACTGTCACCCTTTGCCTTTTCTGTCAGGATGCATCACTGTGACCAGTGCTGAAGAAGGAGGAGCTGAAACCACTCAGTACCTGATCCTACAGGGCCCAGATGATGGTATGAAACCTGTTGCCAGTCCTAGGGAGCCCTGTGATAGATCAGAGTAGAACGTCCATGCGACCCTAGAGGGTTAGCCATTGCCCTGGCCTCTGACAAGGTGGCCTCTGTGGGGAATTGGGGCCTGCTGGGAAGAGCAGCTGATGCTCATGGACAGTCCTGCCTTCTGTTTTCTCTCCTGTGCTCAGGTGCTCCCATGACCTCACCAATGTCTACTTCCACCCTGGTCAATAGTCTGTCAGCCATTGAAACCGTGGCCGACGGCCCCACGTCCACATCAACGTGCCTCGAGCCTCCGGAGGAGCCCCAGGGAGAGCACAGCTCTGCAGCGCAGCCACTGCCAGCCTGTGGCCCTGATGAGCTGGAGCTGCAGAGCCTGGAGGCCCTGATGGAGGTGGTGGTCGTGCAGCAGTTTAAATGCAAGATGTGCCAGTACCGCAGCAGCACCAAGGCAACCCTGCTCCGCCACATGCGCGAGCGCCACTTCCGCCCAGGTGCACCTGCCGCAGCCACTTACTTAGGCCTGATGGGGGCGGACACACAGCCAGACATAGCAGCTTGTTTTATTCTTGCAGCAGCAACAGCAGCCGCCGCTGGTAAGAGGGGACGCCTACGGAAGTGGGGCACATCGACCCACAAGACCACGGAGGAGGAAGGGCCCGAGGACGAGGAGGAGGAGGAGGATGACATTGTGGATGCCGGGGCCATTGATGATCTAGAGGGTAAGCCACTCTCGAGGGTAGCCTCTGTCCCCACACCCATCTACACATACTGAGCCCCTCCAGTACAGAAGGGGGTCAGGCTGAGGAACAGGCTGCATACTGAAAAACAGAACAACAGAAGAAATAGAATGCAAGCAAACACACACACACACACACACACACATTTTTCATAGCTTCATTTGTCACAATTTATTTACTTATGTATGGTCATAAAAACTATTAGTAAAACCAGACACAGTGCTACCTGAAGTGCAGGCAGGAAGATCAGGAGTTCACTGTCACTCTCACTACATTGTTAGAGGCCAGCCTGAGCTACATGAGACCCCAATTCAAACCAATAAAATGTTTCACACACACACATAACCATTTGTGTGGATGCTTGCGCAGGCTAGAGGTTGATGTCAGATGATTTCCTCATTGCTCTCTACTTTACTTTTTGACACAGGCTCTCTCACTGAACCTAGAACTTGCTGTTTTTGATAGACTGGCTAGCCAGGAAGTACCAGAGACTGTCCTGTCGGTGTCTCTGGTGCTGGGACTATTAGCACCCACTGTCTGCACAGCTTTTGACATGGGTTCTGGGAGGCTGAACTCGGGTCTTCATGCCTGGCAGCAAGTGCTTCATTGATGTAGCCATTTCCCCAGCCCCTTGTTTTTCTACAAAGTTTTTTGGTGGTTGTTTTAATTATGTGTGTCTGTGTGTGGATATATGAATCTTGAGTGCAATACCTCTAGCTGCCAGAAGAGGGCATAATCCTCTGGAGCTGCAGTTACAGCTAGCTGTAAGCTATTCCACATGGGTGCTAGGAACTGAATTTGGGTCCTCTGCAAAAACAGCAAATGAGCCATCTCTCCAGTCTCCCCCTCCCCAACCTAATTTTTTGATGTGGAGTTTTCCTGTGTAGCCCTTGGTGACCTCAGACTCTTGTTCCTCCTGAATGTTGAGATTATAGGTGTGTGCCACCATAACTGGCTTCTTTTTCTCCTGTACTTTATGAGAGCTTGAATGCATTTATAACTAAGTTTTTCTGAGTTGAAGCAGGCTCACTCATTTTACGTTTGAATGGCTATGTTTGTTTAATGTGTGCGTGTGTGTGTTTTGTTTTTTCAAAACAGGGTTTCTCTGTGTAGCTTTGGAGCCTGTTCTGAAACTCACTCTGTAGACTAGGCTGGCCTTGAACTCACAGAGATCCGCCTGTCTCTGCCTCCCGAGTGCTGGGACTAATGGCCGTGTGTGGCTGCTGTCCACCAGATGGGACAGTTCAGTCTGGGAGTTTGTAGTCTCAGTGCTCATTGCCTGTTTACTCCCAGTGGCCTAAGTGGCTTGAGAACCAGGTACCTCTTTGTAATTACAAAGATGGTGAGCTATTGGCAGTGCAGGGAAAGGGAGGGTAGTCCTCTGTGGAGGAGGGCAGGGCTCTTCTTGGAGGGACCTCACTGGTGGAGAGAGGAGTGATGGGGAAGTGGCCTTTGTCAGGAGTGTGGATCTAGACACTGTCCTTTATGTCTTCACAGAGGACAGTGACTACAATCCAGCTGAGGATGAGCCCCGGGGCCGGCAGCTACGGCTCCAGCGTCCCACCCCCAGTACCCCAAGACCTCGAAGGAGGCCTGGCCGACCCCGAAAACTGCCCCGCCTAGAGACTGCAGACTTCTATGATGGTAAGACTTGGTCATGGGACAGCTCTGTGTGGGTGACACATGGCTCTGCTGCCTGATGCTTCCAGGGTACTTGGGAGACTGAGTGTGTGCAGAGCAGCAGTCTCAATCCACTGGCTGCAGGCTTCACAGAAAGGAGCCCTCCTGCCCCGGCCAGCCCGAAAAACCCAACTTTGGTGATTGTTTAGGCTTTAGGCAGATGCCTTCCAGTGTCAAATTATCACAGCAGGAGAAGGGGTTGAGCCTTTATAAGTGAACCATTAAAAGCCTTAAATGGCACTGAAATGAGAAGAGAAAAATAAGACCTGGTGGCTGCTGTGTTCCTAGAGGATATTACTTATTGTGGATGTGAGTACAAGCTCTGACCTAGAGATTGTCACTTTACCGCTTGGATCTCTTGTGTATGAGTGGAGGGTAGCCACTGTGTCTGTAGAGTTTGGAGGTAGATTCTGGAGTCTCTCCAGAGCTAGTGTGCAGAAAAGTAAATATAACCTACCCAGGCAACGGTTCACAATGAGAAGGAATGCCACTGATTCCAGGGGCCAGGGAAATGGCTCAGTGGGGGAGAACTTGCTGTGAAAGCATGGTAAGAGTTCAGGGCCCAGCACCCACGGAAGGAGCACTTGAAGTGGCTGTGTGTGCCCATGTTCCCAGTGTTGGGGGTCACAAACAGACTGATCCTGGGAACTCATGGGCCATCCAGCCAATGTGGAGCTTCTGCTTCATAGGGAGACCCTGTGTCACGTGAATAGGCAAAGAATAAAGAGCAGATATCCTCCTGTGGCCTTTCTGGTACAAGAACAGGTGCATGTATCTTACTTGTACAGCACACACAAAGGAGACACTGTTTCCATTCTGTATTGTTCTTTATTAAAAAAAAAAAAAAAAACAAGGGCTGGAGTGATGGCTCAGCCACTAAGCTGACCAGAGGTCCTTACTTCCAGAGCACCTGAGTTTAATTCCCAGCAACTGCATGGTGGCTCACAACCATCTATAGTGCAGTCTGATGCCCTCTTCTGGCCTGCAGGTGTACATGCAGAGCATTCCTACATAAAACATTTAAAGAAAAAGAAAGAGAAGAAGAATTAGTGCATGTTTGTGTGTGTGCACAAGCATGCCATGTGGAGCCCGGGTGAATCAGAAGACAGCTTATAGGAGTTGGTTCTCTTTCACCCTGTGGGCCCTGGTGATTGAACTCAGGTGTCAGGCTGGGCATAAAGGGCTTTGTTTATTCACTAAGCCTCATACCCATTCATTCTGTTTATTTTGTTGTGGTGTTGTTTTTGAGACAGGGTCTCTCTAGGTAGCTCTAGCAGGCCTGGAACTCATTATGTTGCCTAGACTGGCTTTGAATTCAAAGATCCTCCTGCCTGCCTTCTAAGTTCTGAGATTAATGGGGGTAGTTGGCCCCCATCCTTAATATTTAAAGTAGTGAAACTTGTTGATGGTTCCAGGGATGCAGGCCACGGTGTTGTGCATGCCAGGCAAGTGCTCTAACCCTGAGTCATACCCCTCCAGCCTTGAAGTGGTTTTGTTTGCTGTTTGTTTGTTTCTACTTATTTTTACTTGTTTGGGTGTTTTGCCTGTGTGTATGTCTGTTTACCATGTGCATGCAGTGTCTGGAGACATCAGATCCCCTGGGACTGGAGTTAGATGGGTGTAAGTTGCCACATGAGTGCAGAGAATTGAAGCTGGTGCTCTGGAAGGGCAGCCAGTGCTATTAACCACCGAGTCATCATTCCATCCCTTGGAATAGTATTTTTAAACAGTTTGAAAATGTTTCACGCCAGGTGGTGATGGCACACGCCTTTAATCCCAGCACTCAGAGAGTTTGTAAACTGTCTATGGAAGTCCTCTTGCCATGGACCCTCCCTTGGGTCACCAACCTCACAGTGTCAAAGTCACTGTTGTCTCCCAAATCCACAGTGTCCCTGTGGGTCATTAGACCAGTCGTAAGATGGGACAGATGAGACTCAGGAAGGAAGGGCCTTTGTCTGTGGGTGCACAGAAACCAGTGAGGTTGCTGAGTCTAGTGTCTGGCTGTCTGGACTGTTGCTGAGATACTGTCCCGTTTCTGTCCTGCTATGCTGAGTAGGTCAGGAGCAGGGTGACATCTGCATTGACCATGGGCTACCTGTGTCCATTCTGTGATGGGGTGCCCATCACTGGTCAGTTTGGGAGTTGACTGGCCTCTGGTCCTGGATTGTGTGACTGATTGTGATCTTTGTGTTGTGGCAGGTGTAGCAGAGCCTCTGGTGAGTTCCCAGAGCACACAGAGTTCTCCAGAACTGCAGGATCTTGAGGCTCCCAGCTCCTCGGGCCCAGGATGCCTATGGGGCAAGATGGGGAGGGGCCCAGTGGAATCCGGTGTGAGTCAGTCAGATGCTGAAAATGCAGCCCACTCTTGCAAGGATGAACCTGATGTCCCTCCCCGCCGCCGAGGGCGACCCTCCAGGAGGTTCCTAGGGAAAAAATACCGAAAGTAGGTAGTGTTGCAGAGGTGAGCTTGACAGGCTCGGGGGAGTTCCCTGGGCCTGCAGCCCAGCCAGTGGCCTCTCCACCCCTTCCTGACAGGTACTACTACAAGTCTCCCAAGCCACTGCTTAGGCCTTACCTGTGCCGCATATGTGGCTCACGCTTCCTGTCCCTTGAGGACCTGCGCTTCCATGTCAATTCCCATGAAGCTGGTGACCCACAACTCTTCAAGTGCCTGCAATGTAGCTACCGCTCCCGCCGCTGGTCCTCACTCAAGGTGTGTTGTCCAGAAGGGGTCACACAGCAGGAAGGTGTGGAGTTGCCTATGTACTGTGGTCGTCTAGCTTGGAAAGGGTACTGGGACATGGGGGTCTGTGGAGGGCTGCCACAGGCAGTTGACAAGGTGTCCAGTGAGGGACACCTTACTTTGAAAGTTCACAGTAGAGATGACTTATTCTCACTGCCGGACTGGCCAGGTGGGTGGCTCCTTCACAGTACTTGAGTCCTTCCAGCAGGTGGCAGTGGTATGTCTTAGGGAAGTGCCCCTCTCGCCTCATTTCCATTTTGGTCAGATGGTAACTCAGCACCAAGCCTGGCACAGCAGGTGTCTCTCTAGGTAGAGTCCTCAGCCGGGCAGTAGATCGCTGTCCACACTCAGCCCAAGGCTGCGAGTAGGGTGGGGTGAGGAAGAGGGAGGGGAAGCCAAGCCTCCAGCCCCATCTGTCTCTCTCAGGAGCACATGTTCAACCATGTGGGCAGCAAGCCCTACAAGTGTGACGAATGCAGCTACACCAGTGTCTACCGGAAGGATGTCATCCGCCATGCGGCCGTGCACAGCCGGGACCGGTCAGTGAGTTATACAGGGGCAGAGCAATCTAGGCAGGAAGAACATGTGGTCAGAAGTCCCATAGGTCCTCTGTAGCACACTGGTCTGGTCATGTCTCATTCACATGGTGTTAACAAACATTCAGAGACGCAAGGCGAATCCTACCTGATTGTTGGTCCCAGAACCCCTGGGGCCAGGGCCTGGCTCTTCCTTCAAATGGAAAGTAGAGGGGTCTGCAGGAAGTTGTGTGACCACAGGGGTTCATAGGTGACTAGAAGGTCTTATGCTGGTCAGGTGTGGCCCTGCTCCCCTCCCCTCAGTGCTAAGAGCAGATTAGGACTGAGCAAATCATATTTTCAGGCCTGGTGGCTGCTCAGTGAGTTCCAGCTAGGCCTATGGCTTCGGCAAAGACCTATTGACTTTTTTAGCATATGACCTGTGAGCAGAGGGTGGACCCGTGGGGTCCTGCAACCAGGGTGTGTGACAGTTTTCCAAGATTCTTGAAAGAGAAGGGATTGTGTAGCCTGCTAGGATTCCGGTCACCAGGGCTTTTCCCGTGGAGCTTCTTGGAGCCTCTAGTGCAAAAGTGTATTGTGTGAATGGAGGGGAGAGGACCATGACCCGCTTAACCATTATAGAGCTTGTCACTTGTGGAGCCTCAGCCTTCTTCCCAATGGACACCCACTGGTTTTCCATGGGTAACAGGGAGGGAGGGGTGGTCAGGACTGAGACCCGATGGCCATGGGGAAGCTGTGGTGTGACACTTGGTTTCTCCTTTCCCAGAAAGAAGAGGCCAGATCCGGTGAGTGTGGGACCTTGGCCTGGGAAGGGCCCTGGGCTGCTGATAGGGTGGTGGGTAGGAGGTGAGAGCTTCCTGCTCTGTCCCCTTCTCTCTCCCTCTGACCTCTCGTTATACCTTCCCAGACCCCAAAGCTGAGCTCTTTCCCTTGCCCAGTGTGTGGCCGTGTGTACCCCATGCAAAAGAGGCTCACACAGCACATGAAGACGCACAGCACTGAGAAGCCGCACATGTGTGATAAGGTGGGTGGGTCAGAGCTGCGGCGGGAGGCAGGGCCTTCCCTGGCCGCCCGAGTCTAACCTGCCTTCCCCCCTCAGTGTGGAAAGTCCTTTAAGAAACGCTACACCTTCAAAATGCATCTGCTCACACATATCCAGGCTGTTGCCCACCGCAGGTATGGCCCTACCAGAGCGAGGTCCCGGGGTCAGGAAGGAACCCCTCCTATTTCTCAGCTCCCTGTAAACTGCCTCCAGGTTCAAATGTGAGTTCTGCGAGTTTGTTTGTGACGACAAGAAGGCACTGTTGAACCACCAGTTGTCCCATGTTAGCGACAAGCCCTTCAGATGCAGCTTCTGTCCCTACCGAACCTTCCGTGAGGATTTCCTGCTATCCCATGTGGCTGTCAAGCACACAGGTCTGGCCAGCCCTCCAGTCCCAACTCCCCAATCAGAGCTCAGCTCTCTTTGCCCCTCTCAACAGCCCAAGCCTCAGATAGACTTATCCTTGTGCTATCACGGGATTCCTATGGCATTGCCTTGCTGCTGAGCCCAGCACCAGCAGCTTGCTTTCTCTGCCCTAGTTACGAAGGAGAGAAATGGGAGGTGTCTACTGTGTCAGGTCAGGAAGGGGACCTTGAGAGTTGACTGTAGCAGAAAGGTTAAATGTGGACGTGTCCCTGGTCCTTTCTGCTCTAGTCTACCAGAGTGGACAGCAGTGTGTATCCAAACATGGAAATGACTTGCTAGAATGAGTTTAGGGTTCCCTGGGGCCAGAAGATGGCCTCTTGGAGGGCTGCGTGGGCACAAGCATTCCCCTGTGCCCACAGGGGCCAAGCCCTTCGCCTGTGAGTACTGCCACTTCAGCACTCGTCACAAGAAGAACCTGCGCCTTCACGTACGATGCCGACATGCCAACAGCTTTGAGGAGTGGGGCCGGCGCCACCCTGAGGATCCCCCCTCCCGCCGCCGCCCCTTCTTCTCTGTGCAGCAGATAGAAGAGCTGAAGCAGCAGCACACTGGAGCCCCTGGCCTACCTTCCAGTGCACCAGGACCCCAGGTAGGTCCTGCTGGGAGGCAGCACACACAGTGTGAACAAACATGTCTCCTTTGCACGTTGTGATCCAACAGGATGATCCCTGCCTCCGTCACTGTGGCAGACACCAGCCAAGTGATGGGTACAGTTCTAAGCTTAGAGGAGGGTAGCTTTCCAGTGCTGGTCTGAACTGCAAATAGACCCGTAGCTTGGTTACAACAGTAGCTTATTTTTCTGAGCTGTGAAATAATTGCAAAGCTCAGCAGTCCTGAGCTGCTCTGGCCCCAACCCTGATGGTCAGGGAGAAGCTGAGTATTTTCGAACAACATCCTAGGATCTGTCTTTGGTCTTTATGGTGGCCCTGATGGTTCATCATGGCTTTAGGAACACCTTCCCAGCCACATTCCATGCCAGCATCGAAAGGAAGGGCTGGGAGATGGTAAGAATGATGCTTGCTGTCATCTATCCACGTCTTCCTCATGAAGCTTATTGGAAGTCACTGCTTAGTTACCTGCTACACTCTTAGAGCCAGGAGATGCTGAGCAGTGTCATCTTGTAGATGGGCACACTGTTGACAAGGAGGAAGGCAAAGGTATTTGTGAGATGGTTTAGCGAGTTAGGGTGCTTGTTGTCAAGCGGTATGACCTGATTTGGATTTCCAGGTCCTATGTGGTGGAAGTGGAGAAGTGACTTCCCAAAGTGGTTCTCTGATATCCATAACTGCACTGTGGCACTCGTACCTATACACAAACACACAAAATAAATGTAATTTTATTAAAGAGGAGGATGGATTGGATTTGGGGAAGGCATCTAGTATTCTGTCATGGGAGCTCCCAGTTGCCCTAGGAAGATGACCACACTAGGAAGATAGTACTGGAATTGGTGGTCATCTTGGGTATGTGTCCCATGCCTTTACATTTCTGAACCTCACCTTTCCATTGAGCTGGTAAATAACTTTAAAAACAGTGAGGGGATGGAGAGATGGCTCAGCAGTTAAGAGCACTGGCTGCTCTTCCAGAGGACCCGGGTTCAATTCCCTGCACCCACATGGCAGCTCATAAATATTTCTAGTTTCAGGGGACCCAACAACTTCACATAGACATACATGCAGGCAAAACATGAATGCACATGAAATAAAAATAAATCATTAAAAAAACAGTGAGCTCAACAAGGGACTTGTGGGAAATGATGACATCAGATGTGCTTGGGAAATGCACTTGGGTCTGCCCCCGCCTCAGGTTTGACTCCTTTCCCTTCCCAGGTCCCCCAAGAGCCAGCACCTTTCCAGTCACCTGAGACTCCCCCACTACTCTGTCCTGATGCCCTAAGTGGTGCCACAATCATCTACCAGCAAGGTGAACCTTAAAAGCAGGGAGTAGGGTAGGAAGATGGCATGGGTGGCATTGGGTGGTCCAGGTGTCCAGCCTGTTCTCAAGCTCAGGTCCCACCCCACCCAGGAGCTGAGGAGTCCACTGCGATGGCCACTCAGACAGCCTTGGATCTGCTGCTGAACATGAGCTCCCAGCGGGAGCTAGGGGCCACAGCCCTGCAGGTAAGCACCCAGGACTTCCCCTGCCCAGCTATTAAACATGACAGCTCTGCAGTAGTGACGCCATCCTACCCTGCTGGGGACAGATCCACCTAACCCTGATGGGCAAACTTGAAAGAACCGGCTCTGTGGAGCCGAGGAGGACAGTCTTTCCCAGTGCACTGTCCAGTTACCAGTGACCATCTGTCTTAGTCACTGTTCTATGCTGTGAAGACACCATGGCCAAGGAGGACAGTCTTTCCCAGTGCACTGTCTAGTTACCAGCAACCATCTGTCTTAGACACTGTTCTATGCTGTGAAGACACCATGGCCAAGGCAGCTCTTACAAAAGAACACATTTAATTGAGGGCTTGCTTACAATTTCAGCGGCTTAGTCCATTGTCATTATGGCAGGGAACATGACACTGAGCGGTAGCTGAGAGCTACATCTTGATCTGCAGCCTGAGAAAGAGAGAGAGACTGACCCTGGCATGGACTTTTGAAATCTTAAAGCCCACCCCCAATGACACCCTTCCTCCAGCAAGACCACACCTACTCCAATAAGGCCATACCTCTAGTCTTTTCAGAGTTCCACTCCCTGGTGACTAAGCATTCAAATAGATGAGCCTGTGGGGCCATTCTCGTTCAAACCCCCACTCCATTTCTGTGCTGAGGGGTTTGTGTTACTGCATGTGGTTCTCACGCTTGGCTTGTTTCTCACCATGTCTACTGGCACTGTGCGGGCTCCTCTGGGTCTAAAGCAGCTTCCTGTGTAAACACCACTTGCAGCCAGATCACTCCCAAGGCTTTGTCTAGCTCAGAGCTCTATCTGGCCTCTCATCAGCCGTGATGCCATCTCATGTCTCACACACCTACCACCGCCCCCACCCCAACCCCCACCCCCGTTCATCCTCTTTCCTCTGTCCCTCAAGCACAGGGACACTCAGCAGCACCTCTGTATCCCAGCCTCTTGGAAGGGGTGGAGTGTAGACCAAGGAGAGCATGTACCTATAATACCAGCATTTGAGCAGAGGAACCAGGAGCATAAGGAGTTGAAGGCCAGTCTGGGATACATGAGACCTTATCTCAAAAGAAAACAGAGCTGAAGAGTTGGCTCAGGGGTTAAGAGCATTGGGTAGACCCAGGTTCAACACATAGTATCTACAAGGCAGCTTACAATTGTCTTAACTCCAGCTACAGGGAATCCAGTATTCTCTTCTGGCCTCTGAAGTCACTAGACATGTGTGGTGTACAGATATACATATAGGCAAAACACTTGTACACATAAACTTAACAAAAAGTTAAATTCAGAAAGTGGAAGTCTGGAGTATGCCTTCCCTTACCTCTGATAGCCAGGTAGTGGGCTGAGGAGAGATTGCCAGGATTTTGTTTAGCTGCAAACCAACATATAGACATTTCTTTTAGAATAGATTCATTGCTCTGCTACTCAGTGATCTGTTGTTCAGGTGTGATACGCAGCTTGGCTGCTGGGTGTACATGGTCTTCTTCATAACATGTTGTTATGAAGTATAGTCTGGCCCAATGGTGGTGCACGCCTCTAATCCCAGCACTCGAAGGCAGAGGTAGGTGGATCTCCACGAGTTCAATACCAGCCTGGTCTGCAGAGAGAGTTCCAGGACAGTCAGGGCTACACAGAAACCCTGTCTTTAAAACCAAAAAAAAAGTATACTCTGATAGAGGTATAGTTTATGGTCCTATTTTATAATTCTGTTAAATTACACAGGGGCTAGACTTCTGCCCAAAGATTTAGTCTGAATTACCCGCTTGTCCCCTTCTCCTTTTTATGGATGTGCTAGTCCTTTGTTATTGCTTCGCAAGAACTCTTAGGATGTCTGGGGTTTTTTGGAGGGTGGGTTTTTGGTTTGGTTTGGTTTGGTTTGGTGTGGTTTTTGGAGAAAAGGGTTTCTCTATATAAGAACCCTGACTGTCCTGCAACTTGCTTTGTAGACCAGGCTGGCCTCAAACTCTCAGAGATCCACCTAGTTCTGCCTCCTGAGTGCTGAGATTAAAGGCATGCGTGTGCCACCATGCCCAGCTGAGTGTGTTTTAGGAAGTACTTGGGAGTGTAAATGAGTGGTGACAGCAGAGGCTGTGGTAGGATGGTGAGCTTTAAGGCGACAAGGACAATCTTGGACAGCAGCCCTGTTCCATTGGTGTTACTGCAGGTGGCTGTGGTGAAGTCAGAGGGCATGGAGGCGGAGTTGACATCTACTGGTAGGCAGCCTTCCCCTGAAGATACCACGCCACAGGTGGTGACACTTCATGTGGGAGAGCCAGGGAGCAGCTTGGCAGCCGAGAGCCAGCTAGGCCCCTCTGACCTACAGCAGATTGCCTTGCCATCTGGATCATTTGGTGGGGCCAGCTACAGTGTCATCACAGCACCCCCTCTGGAAGAGAGGACCTCAGCTCCTGGCACATCGTACAGGTAACTTGACTCAGTCTTTAAGAGGGGCTCCCCGCTCTAACCCAGTTAGCAGGAGGCAGGGTCCTGATTTGTACAGGGTGACAGGGCAGCAGGAGATTATATCTTGTGCAGGGTTGGAAGCTGCCATTCTTTGGTCATTGGCTGTTCTGGGAACTTTGCACTAATGGTCTTACCTAGCCAGCTAGCATCCACAAGATCCAGGTGTCCCTGCTTTTGCAGATGTGGAAACAAGCTAGTGAGGTTAGGTCAGATGCTTGGAACCCTGGTTCCCAACCCTGTATACCTTTCCCCCTAAATGTGAATGCCTATGTGAGTTTGGGGCCAGAAGGCATAGGATTCCCTGTGACTGTGGGTGCTGGGAACCAATCCTGGGTCCTGGGCAAGAGCAGCCAGTGTTCTCGGGTGCTGCATTGTCTCTCCAGTGCTCTGCCCCCAGGAGCTCTTCTGTCCTGAGTGCTGGAACAAGTGTGGACTTCTTTGTTGATGGGCTGCCCGAAACTGTGCTTAGCTTCCCTCTGGTGCAAATCTGTGACAAGTGTTTCTCTGTTCACTGAACTCTTAGGCCACCTGAGGAGCTCTGACCTGTGCTGTAATTAGAGTCAGAAGCTATGGGCCAGCATCTGGGCAGGCTGCCTCAGCCTCTGCCCTCTCTGCTTGGGTAGCAGATCCATTCTGTCCCCTCCTGTTGGCTGGCCTCTCCTCCTGTCCCTTTTGGCCAAACCTGAGTTGGACCCTTGGAGTGCTGTCTTCTCCATACCAAAGGAAATAGGGGTCACCCCTTGAGTAGGGTGAAACACTGAGCTCTTGGTAATCATTTAGGGAGAGAGCGCAACAGAGGGGGAAATGATTGAGCGAGACCTAAATTCACTGAGGCTTCTTCAGCTTGACCTTTGCTTGGTGAGGGATTCTTGTAGCCTTTCATCCTTTTCTGGAACCCCACCTCAGGCCTCCACCCTCTGCCCTTAGTGAAGAGCCTCCTGGAGAAGCAGCCCAGACTGTGGTTGTGAGTGACTCTCTCAAGGAGGCTGGCACCCACTACATCATGGCAGCTGATGGGACTCAGTTACACCACATCGAGGTGAGTACTGGGAGTGTCTACCCCACCCAGTGTCCTGCCTCTGCCCCTCCTCAGCGCCTCATGCTGTGGGTTTTTCTACAGTTGACTGCAGATGGCTCCATCTCCTTCCCAAGTCCAGATACCCTGGCCTCTGGAACAAAATGGCCCCTGCTGCAGTGTGAAGGGCCACCCAGAAATGGTCCTGAGGTTATATCTCCACTGAAGACCCACCATGTGGAAGGCCCCCAGGGCTCTCCCACCCCACCCCCTGCAACTAGCAACACTGTAGGCCTGGTAGTACCCACTTCCCCACCGTCTGCAGCAGCTTTGTCAGCAAAGAAGTTCTCCTGCAAGGTGTGCTCAGAGGCCTTTGCTGGCCGAGCAGAGATGGAGAGTCACAAGCGGGCCCATGCTGGGCCTGCTGCCTTCAAATGCCCTGACTGCCCCTTCCATGCTCGCCAATGGCCTGAGGTCCGGGTAAGTGCTCTCCCGCCATGCCTCTGCCTTTATTCCTGTGGTCACCCTTTATTGAGCAACTCCTCACGCCTGGTCCTCTGTTCCCCACTAGGGGTCAGAGTTGACTCAGCAAGTGACTAATGCCAGACTGTGTTCCCAGTGTGAAGGATGGGAGAGTATAGATCAGCGTCAGCAAGGCATTGCATAGGGTGCTAGGAAGACAACAGAAGTAGCAATGGAGCCAGGCTGTGGGGCATAGGAACAGAGAGGGTGACAACATGATTGGAGACTGAAGATGCTAGAGGATGGTGGGAGGGCAGACATTCACGGCCACTGTGGGATGGTGTGAAAACAGCAGGACAGCTTCTGATAAATTTCATGAGCTCCTTCCAATTGCCGGAGGGTTTCCAGTTTCTGGATCCTACCCCATGATGCATCCTCTGAGCTCCCAAAGGGGCCAGGGCCTAGAGCCCCACACTCCAATGGGAAAGCTAAGGCCCAGTTAGGCAGGACTGAGCCTTAGCATGCAGGAGGTCCCTCTCCAGTAAGTTACAACAGAGCCACACACTGAGACAGAATTACCCAAGTGGTGTAAGGACACAGCCTCTGGCTTCTCGCTGTCTGTCTGCGTAGACCAGTCTCAGCAGGTCCAGCTTTTGGTCCAGATCCTCACTGACATGTGCATTTAGTTTTTGTGCCGACTTGCTGCCTTCCATTCTGACCCACTGATACTTGGTCTCTACCTTGTGTAGGCTCACATGGCGCAGCACTCAAGCCTAAGGCCTCACCAGTGTAATCAATGTAGCTTCGCCTCTAAGAACAAGAAGGATCTGAGGCGGCACATGCTAACGCACACCAACGAGAAGCCTTTCTCATGCCACCTCTGTGGGCAGCGGTGAGGCTGGGGATGGCTAGGAGTAGGGGGACTTCCATGTACACATGGTACATGTACACATGGTAGAGTCACTTCATGCCTACTCTTCCCTCTCCTCAGTTTCAACCGGAATGGGCACCTCAAATTTCACATCCAGCGGCTACATAGCAGTGATGGCAGAAAGACTGGAGCTTCTACAGCCCGAGCCCCAGCTCAGACCATCATCCTCAACAGTGAGGAGGAAACACTGGCCACACTGCACAGTGAGCTACCCTGGGCACAGGGCAGATCCTTTGAGTCCAAAGGCTAGAACCACAGCCCAAGGGAACCCCAGGGATGAGACATCCATGTTTTCCCTGAACCCCCTAATGAGTTTCCCTCCTCTCTGTCCAGCTGCCCTCCAGTCCAGTCATGGGGTCCTGGGTCCAGAGCGGCTACAGCAGGCACTGAGCCAGGAACACATCTTTGTGGCCCAGGAACAGACAGTGACCAACCAGGTAAGAGCAAGGTCTGGAGCCTCTGCAGAGAGGATGGGATAGACAGAACTGAGGTGGCTCAGAAGGTTAGAAGCCTTGTACCATCATGAGGGTCAGAGTTTGGATCCCAGCTCCAACCATGTTACAAGCCAGGTGTCTGGTGTCTCTTACACTCCTAGAAGCCCAGCTAGGTCTAAGAAGGATGGAGGGAGACAAGAGGATCCCTGGGGTTTGTGTGGCTTCCAGCCAAGCCAGAACTCCAGGTTCATGGAGAGACATTGCCTCAACAAAACAGGCCAAAAAAAAGTAGTGAAGAACAATGCTTGATACCCTCTTCTGACCTTTTGGCCTCTATGCAGGGGTAGGGGCGCACACACACACACACCAAAAAACAACAGAACACAGGAATAAAGAAAGAACTGTGGCTAAGTTGGGCTTGGTCTTGACAGGAGGAAGCTGCCTATATCCAGGAAATCACCACAGCAGATGGCCAGACAGTACAGCACCTAGTGACTAATGACAACCAGGTAAACTCCTGTCTCCTTACCCACCAAGGCCAACCTTAGAAGTTTCCAGACTACCTGAGCCAGTGTCCATAGTTGTGTCTTTACTCTGCCCATCTACCCCGGCTCCCACTCAGTCAAGCCCTAGCACCTGCCTCACCCTCCTTTGTTAGGTTCAGTATATCATCGCTCAGGACGGCGTTCAGCACCTGCTGCCTCAGGAGTATGTCGTGGTCCCTGATGGCCATCATATCCAGGTAGGCCAGGCCTGGGGCAAGGTAGGGTTTGGAGGAAGGCTGCACAGCCTCTTTCTAGTATCACTGGCCAGCTTCCTACCTCCAGGTCCAGGAAGGCCAGATCACACACATCCAGTATGAGCAAGGTACCCCATTCCTGCAGGAGTCCCAGGTATGGTACTTAGGGGAACAGGAAGAGATGGGGTGCTGAGGCCCCTGTGGGGACTGTCCTCTTACTGGCTTCTTTCTCCAGATCCAGTATGTTCCTGTGTCCCCAGGCCAGCAGCTTGTTACCCAGGCTCAGCTTGAGGCTGCAGCACATTCTGCTGTTACAGGTATGGATGGGGCTAGACACTGACAGCCAGGAAACTGAGGCCAGGCCTAGCTCCTGAAGCCTTGGGCTCACTGTGCTTTTCCCTCCCCTGGCAGCGGTGGCCGATGCTGCCATGGCCCAAGCCCAGGGCCTGTTTGGCACTGAGGAGGCAGTGCCTGAACACATCCAACAGCTGCAACACCAGGGCATCGAGTACGACGTCATTACCATCACGGATGACTGAGCCACAAAGGCCCAACGCTGATCTTGGATATCGGGGCCAGCTCTCCTGGAGACTAGGGACTTTCTTGTCCTACTTAGGGCCTCCAGATACCGGACAGTCAGTATCCCTTGACTCCAAAGGAGCCAGACCTGTGCTCTTGTGGGGCAGCCATGGGCCCCAGCCAGGACATGCTGGGTACTTAAGCCTGCTGGCAGGCTTTGGGAGAGAAGTTTATTTTTGTTTGGATGGACCCACTGGCTCCTCAGTCTCAATAAAGGGACCAGAGTCCAGCCCTTGTAGCTCTCTTTGTACATGGTGCTAATAACCTGAACCAGGTAAGGGCCAGGAAAGCAGGCAGAAATCTCAACAAGTGGAGGCTACTTGGCTCCACAGTCAGCTGGCCCACCTGTTCCAGTGGTCCCAGTACAGGCCAAAGTAGCCTGACCTCAGGAGAGGACTGAGCTAGAGAGAACCCTGCTTTCTCCATGGGCTCCCTGTCTCCAGGACCTCAAAGGGCAGGTACTATACCTCTGAGGCTGTATTTGCTCCTGAGCCTTGACTGTAAAGCATTTAGCAGCCTGTAAGTCTGGTTTAGACATGGCAGGTCCCAGACTTATCCAGGCAGGCTCAGCTGTAGTGCTCTGGACTCCTCCAACCTGCTGAGCTAAGAAGCCTCTAGGGACTCAGATCTGCAGGGACCCAGGGATGGTATGAAAGCCTAGGGATCTTGATAAGGGGCACCTAGATGTGGTAGGGAATGGTCAGAGAGGCAACTGCCCCAAGACCCTCACGCACTCTTAGGGAGTTTCTGTATTTCCTTTTACAAATGAAACAAGGCAGCAACAGGGTCAATGTGGGGCTGGGAAGGCATGGGCCTATTTACAAGGGACTTGGTGAATCGCAGGGAGGGGGAGCCCTGGCAGAGCCATAATATTCCTATGTCCTTGGCAGCCCAAGTCCTGCTGCCACCCCAGGGGAGGGCCCTGGAGCCTACTCAGCCCTGAGGACTTAGTCCCAGCAGTCAGTCACAGCACCCCTGGGGCTCCTCCTCCCCGAAGGATATGTTAAGTGGGGTGAGGCTCTCGACTAGGGCCCTGCTCCCGGCCCGAGTCCCGGTCCTTGGCCTCTGAGGAGGAGGAGGAAGAGCTGGAGCCGTGGCTGCGGCCTGACTGCTTGTAGGCAGTGGTGAGCTCCTGCAGTCGCTCTGGCGTTGGCCCCCACTTGGCAAAGCCGGGGTCGTTCTGCAGGAAGAGCACGGCTGTGTTGTGGACGGCCTTGTAGTGCATTTCCTCCCTGTGGGCAAAGGGAGCTGCTGAAGATAGGGCACAGACTGGCCTGCTCACCCAGCCTGCCAGCCTGACCTGGCTTCCTTCCCCTGCTGCCTGGGCACCTACTTCTTGCAGATGTGCTGGGAGCCACTGCGGTACTCGTGCTCAAAGGCGGGCAAGACCAGCTGGTGGCGTTTGAAGCGGCTCTGCTCCATTCGGGTGAGCGCTGGTGTGGGGGGCTCCCGCCACTCGGGGATGAACACAATGAAGGACAGGGGCTCTGGTGAGCTCTCCAGCAGTTTCTACGGGAGGGAAAGTATGGGGTGGAGATGCGGTTCTGCCCTGGAGGGCAGTTTGTAGTTTTGCCTGCCCCGTCAGTTGGTAGCACACCCACCTCAAAGTGAGAGACCATAGCGTCCATGAGCTCCTCGCAGAACGGAGGGTTGGCCTCAAAGGAGCCACTCAGCGGGGCGAAGTCCAGGCAGGGCCTACAGAAAGGTGAGCATTGTAGCCCCACCAGCACCCAGTCCTCATACATACTTCCCCTACCTCTAGACGGTCACAATGAAGAGATGACCAGTCAGGACAGAGGCCAACATTCACCCTTAATTATGCTAGAACAAGGAAGTGACCATGTCCCTTGAGTAGGTAACCTGAGGACAGAGGCTAGGTGTGTATGCCTGTGTCCACTAAGTTGAACTAGAGTCCAAAGCCAGCACAGCAGAAGTCACATCCAGGGCTTTCCCAGCTGATGAGCACAGCCTCCCTCTCTCCTTCCAGTGAGCACTTTCTTCCTATAGTATATCTGGTCATTTGTACTCCTCACCCTGCTGCTTTTGAGGTCTGCCTTACCCTTCTCATCCCCCAGTGCCTGCAGCCAAGGGCTCCTAATCCAAACCGAAGCCAATTCACAGAGAAGCCTACATGCCAGCTTAGATAGTATCTGTTATATGTCTGCCATGAAGCCAGAAAACTGTAGGCTCTTGTTGCTTCCTCAGCATGTCAAAGGTCATATGGTAAATAGTGAAGACGGGTTACCTTCAAGGTTGTCTGATTCCAAAGCCCTAAGCATTAAGAAGCAACTGGCTCAGGTGGGACCTATACCCTAAAAGACATCTTTATGGGCAGAAGGGCCCCAGCAATCCCTGGATCTCACCCGCGGGAGCCAAAGTAGCCATCTGTGTCAGGGAAGGCAGAACAGTACTGGCGGAAGTAGCAGTTGAGGGGTGAGGCGAAGCACTCGAAACTGACGCCAAAGAGTCGGTGCAGGACCTCAAAGACGTGCACAGGCAGCGATCCCTGCAGGCCAGTCCCCTCATACAGGCCCACGCCAAACATCATCTGCAGATTAGCCTTAGTCAGTGTAAGGCTCTATCTCCGTGCTCCCGTCCAAGGGAGTCCTCCCTGGCCCCAGATCTATACCTGGTACCGACGGAGAAGACACCAGACTCGAGGCAGGAACCTCTCAAAGGCAGAGTCATCAACACAACTGTAGCGATAAAGGAGCCACTGTATGACAGAAAGAAGGGGGTTCAGCAGTGATCTTGTGACCTCATCACTGACCAGCTGCTGAGGGCTGTGGTCAAGGAAGACCCCAAGCCTCCACTCACTCCGTAGCATGGGCCTCCCCAGCTCTCACCAGTTTGCTGAAGTAGCTGCGGCTGACCTTGACCATCTCTCCCTTATACCGGATGCAGACCACACTGTTCTCCATGTGCATCTCCACACTAGGCATGGGGGGTGCAGACACAGCTAGACGGACTGGGTAGCAGTACACCAGGCGGGGCTCCAACTCTGAGGCCTCCACCTCCTCTGTGGGCAGGGAAGGATAGTGAGGGGCTGTCCAACTCTAGACAGCCTAGACAGTCCTCGCACCCATTGTGCAGTGCTTACATGGATCAGGTAATGAAACAGTTTCCATTAAAAAAAGCCACCAGGCAACTGGCATTAACTGATGGCATGTATCAACACACTCAGCATTGAAGCAGATTTGCAATGCCTAAGGCCCACCAGACAAATTGGAAGTATGAAAACAGTGGCCTTTGTCTGGCTAGTTAAGTTTGCTTATGCAGGGATCTTTGGGGCCTGTGTAGTTTTTGGCTATGAACACTCACATTGTTATGGCAAGCATCAGTTACACTAGGGTCTGGGAAAAGCGAAGGTTTAGGGAACGGATTTGTCCCAGGTCTGCTTAACTAAGTGGCCCATCTTTCATCAGCTTCTGGCTCATCGATTCATTCCCAGAGGAGTACTAACACATTACTCCCAAGAAATAACTCTCCCAGGTCAGTCCAGTCCTGGCTGTGAGGCCCAGCCAGGGCCTAGGACACAGACTAGATGGCATTGTAGCTGGCTCCCCATGTGGGCCCTACCTGGGATGTTGTTTTCCTTGAGGATGGCGAGGTGCTTCTCTCGGATCCGTTTGACATACTCCAGGGAGATGTGGTAGATCTTGCTACAGATGCCTTCCACAGAGTCCTTGGCTGCAGCAGAGACATGGGGCCCACACTGCCTCCGCAGGTGCTCCAGGCGGTCCTGGAGAAAAGCCCTGGTCAGGACACTGGTGGCAAAAGGGCTGGCATCTCCTGTTGGGGCTATTGGACCTCAGATGTCCCAGTAAACAGAAAATGGATCTGTTTACTAGCCATGTTGCTTGGACGTCTCTGAATCTTGTTCCTACCAAGGGAACTGAAGCTAGCAAGTAAGACATTGTGAACAGTAAGTGTCATTCCCTTGACCCACCAAGGCTCTGCGTGTAAGCATCCAATGAATGGCTGCAGGTTTTGTTGCAGTTACATTGGCAGAACCCAAGATAACTGGTGGAGAAAGAGGCAAGCCAGGCAGGCCCTCTCCTTACAGCATTTGCCTTCCAGCGAACTGGCTTGGTGCGGACTCAAAGGCTGCTTTTAAGTCCTTGTAAAGAGAATTATACCTGTGAACTGCACTGTGAGAACAAGTCACTCTAGCCAGGGAGTACACCTGTGTTTGTACCACATGTCCAGGACACTTACGTTGTAATGTGTAAAGCATGTCTGTGAAAGACAGTCCTGAAAAAAAAAAGCTCATTGCAAGTGCTGATGGAGATGGATGAGTGACAGGCACGGGCCAGAGAACAGAAGGGCTGTGGATATGCTAAGAGGAGGGGCTGAATTCAATGGCGGCTAACTGTTCATGTGTGTGTGTGTGTGTGTGTGTGTTTTACCATTACTTACATCTGGATACCAAATGCATGCCAGAAGAGGGCATCAGATCCCTTTATAACAGACAAGATGTGAGTGTTGGAATTGAACCGCAATCCACTGGAAGAGCAGCCAGTGCTCTTAACTGTGGAGCCATCTCTTCAACCCCCCTAAGGTGTCTTTTAACTGCACTATATGGACACACACAGGAAAAGGCAGACTGTTCTCACAGATCTACTGAGCTGACATGTTGCGCACTCATCCGGTTGAAAAGGCAATGTTTGAGATTGCAGTAAGAAAGCCATGGGCTTGAGCATCTCCATAGTGATTCTGGGAACTGATGCGCAGCAAGGTCTGCCACACTGCACATGGGCTGTTGTGGACGCAGCCTGACAGGCAGAGCCTTTCAACTGGCCTCACCCTGGGGCCCTCTCACCATGTAGTCCTCCTTGGAGGCTGAATGGTCCTTCCGAAGCCAGCTGAAGGTGTCTTCCACATTCCACTTGACCACTTTTCTGCTGTCAGGGGATGCACTCCTGCGGGTTGATAGCAAGAGAAATGAGCTGCAAGGCCCAGCTGCTAGGTGTCCGCTCCTGCCCACCTCCTACTTCGCTACCATCTCAGGCATTAGCCTCTAGGCTTACCACCCACCTGTCCTTGGCAGCCTGAGCATTAGCCGGTTGTATTGCCCTCTCCCACCCCATTTTGATTGTGTGGGGCCAAGAAAGCCAAACCTAGACTCGATGAGCCGCCTGGCAGCCTCTGCATATTTAAAAAGCAGACGTTTGGCTTCCTCCCGGAACTTGATTCTGGATAACCTGAGTTAGAAAAGAGACAAGACTTAGAGCCCTCCTACATGTGACCTGGCACAAGAACCTAGCAGCTGAACTGTGGAGCTATACCTGATGGGAATGTCATTCATAATTTCACGAAACATAGACGGTGACACAACTGGATCACAGTTGCTTGGCAGCAGGGGGTCAGAGCCTTTGTCTACTACTTTGCGCTCCAGCATCCAACGGTTGAAAGATTCTCGAGGTGGCTCAATGCCTGTGGGACAAAGAGTTGCTAAGGTAAGGACCTGGAATAGTCAACAGGGTCCACTGAGACAGAAAAAGGCAGAGCTGTGGGTGTTTTTTCACATGCTTATTTCCTAGGCTTCATTTTCTCAAACTATACTCTGAGACTCATGAGTATTTTTTTCTTAAGACAGGGTCTGGTAATGCAGCCCAGACTAGCCTGGAATTTGAAATCCTGCCTGAGCTTCCTGAGAGCTGGGAGGTGTGAGCTCCAAGCATGCTTTCTCTAAGAATTTTAGTCCCCAACTTACAGGTGTGGGAACTGCAGACAAGTTGAGAAACACACTCCACATCACAGAGCTGGGACCCCAACAAGTCTGTTTCCCTACAGCAAACCCTGAACCACCAGGCCACCTTCCCACCCAAACCCAAGTGTGAAGCCAAGGGGAGGCTGCAGAGCCCTCACCCTCACGCTGCTGGCACAGCTCCCGGTAGTGCTGGCGTAGCTTCAGGATGAGCTGGGAGCGGAGCAGCTCAACCTCAGGGTGTGGGGGCAGGACCTCTGAAGGACCCCTGTGCTTGATGACAGCATTGGTCTGGATGTCCAGGTCCCAGTACACCCTAGGGGCACAGACAGGAGTTGTGAAAATGGCCTGCCCACCACTGCCACCCCACACAGTCCTGAGCAGACTGGCCATCAGCAGTGACTCACTCGGTGGGTCGGAGGAGAGCTGCCTGCTGTTTATCTTCAGCAGATCCACCCCAAATCTTTAGTGTTGGGGTTCCTGGGATGCTGGGGGAACTGGGTACGGACTGGCTTGTGGGTGTCACAGGTATTTCAATCTGAAGGAAAAGAATCCAAAAGATGTCAAGTCAGAAGACTATAGCCAGGCCCACCAGCTGCACTTGGGATGCCCTCCTGACCCACCCTTTGCAGGGAGCTGCTGACCACACACCCAAGGTAACCACCTACCAGCCAGGTCTAGGACCCCCCAGATACTCACCTTGGGCTTCTTTACACCGTTGCCACTTGGCTGCTCTTCTGAGAGTTGCCGCTTTCTGGGCTTGTTCTCCACTGGGGGAGTTTCCACCAAGCTTGAGTCTTGGGGCAATGGGGTTGCATTCAGCCCCAAAGGGTCCGACTAGTGGAAGGAAAACAGCAGAATTACAAACAGGGCCAGTGGCTTAGGAGCCCCAATAGTTCAAACTCTTCACACCCTGCTCTGGCCTGGGATACAGATGAAGAACCTTGGACTCCACTACTGCCTGTGACCTGCAGCTGTGGCCAGGGGTGAGCTACCTGCTTCCTGATGCCCTCACTTTTGGAAAGGCCATGTTAAGCCCACCTCACCAATGACATTGTGACACAAGTCACTGAGTGGCTTGCTATGATGTCTGGCATTAGATCAGTGCCTTAAGAACAAAATAGAAATGAGGAATCAAGAGCAGTCAGGGAACATTTTTCAGACAAGCAAGGCTCTGCCTGGACCTCCTTTAGTGACACCAAGAATCGCTGCAATTAGCCCTCTACTACAAGCAGCCATATGGCCTTGGGCCAGTTAACTTCCCTTTGAACCTCAGTGTTTTGCCTGTAAAACAAAGAGGCCCCTGCCTGACTGTGTGTAGTAAGGGCTGCTCCAGCTGAGGGATCCAAGAACTGAGGTTCCTTCAGGAAGCCTGTGGTTATACTCCTAGAACATTCTTCTCCTCCCACTTAGTCAGCCTCACCATAAACTCTGATTCTCAGAGCTCTTCCTTCTCTTCCCCAGACCAGGATCCCCAATGGAATTCAGTACATTCTTTAATAAGTCCACAACTAGAATCCTACTGTCTGCCACAGAAGCATACTGCAAAGACAGGGAGCTCGTCTGTCTTGCTGGCGCCTACCTTTCTGCATGGTACCCAGTGTTCAGCATGCTACACTAATAATCTGCTCCCCTGTCTCCTGTTTGATTGCAGGATCTCTGAAAACAGGGATTGTCTTGCTTGACATTTTATCTGCACAGGGCTAGACACTTAGCTGTGTGACATACATTTATGGAAGGCCACAGGCCTGCTGAGACCCTTGCCCCAAGTTGGCACTCACAAGCACATCGTGCTGGCCCAGCACGGGCATCTCCCACAGGGACTGGTTGGTGAATCGGTTGAAGTAGTAGGGACGGCTCTCCCTCCGGCTCCAGCACTTCTCCCAGCCTGCGTGTACCAGCTCCTCTGCAAACAAGAGTACAACCCACAGTCAGGGCTGCCCACAGAACTCACTATTCCTACCAGCCCATACCACTCCCTCCAGTACCTGGGAGGTCCTGTACCAGGCGGACTGGCTTTGGAGAACAGGGCTGGCTCTGATTGGAGGTGCCTGGAGAGTGACTTAGAAGGGATGCTTCCTCCCGGGGGCTGCCATGATTCTCATTGGCCATCTCAGCAGCCACACGGGACCTGCCACACAGAGGACCAAGAGTGTCAACTCCATCCTACTCACCAATGACAACCTAGGGCTCTGGTAACTTATCTAGAGATTTGAGAAATTCAACACAGTCTTGTCGTAGACAGCTAGCCAGCTAGTGCCATAGGGGCAGTGAGATTGAAGTTTCTGTCCCTCACCTGTAAGATGGGGTACCCACCTAGCCAAATCCTTTGCTTTAATGGCCTGGCTTATCCTTGGGCTCTCATCCTCCAGGAAAGCTCTTTCCTGGCCCTCTTCCCAGGGTTGGTGGACAAAGCTCTTCCGCAGTGTCACTGAAAATGGGTCATAGTACTTACATGGCTAGGCACACAGTGGGACTGTCTCCTTAGACTGGGTCCAGTGTGTCGCTCTCCAGAGCTAAGAATGCCACCTGGACTCAAAAGGAGCTCTACTAATCCTCCAAACATTTACTGTCTGCCCTCCAAGGACCAGTGACTTCTTTTGGGAAGACAGAGTTTTATTGCTCCCACTAGGTAAAGTCAGTGGACCAGCTGGGGAAGCATGAACTCTGGTTGTAGTTTGTTGCTAAGGAAACCAGTGTAATAACTGAAGAGGGTTTAGTCCTTCAGAAGCCCCAGGTTAAACACTGAAGGAATATCTGTATTCCCCACTACTCCCTCCCAGAGCACACCTAGCATAAGCCTCAAAGGCCAGGTGCTCCCAGTCTGGTACTACTACACACCTAGGGGCCACCTGAGATGGGATTGATGGTGCTCATGTTGTTTTTAGTGTATAACAGAACCCACAAGAAACCCTCGCCCACAGTAAGACCACAAAGGTTTTCTTTAGAAGCTGATCAGGGTCCCTGACTCGTTGACACATCATAGGAATCATTGAATATTTATTTTATTGTACACTCAGAGATGTCTGTTAATTTGGAAAGGGAAAATCAATAGTTACTTTATCTGTACATTTTGGCAGATAAGAATTGCAGCAACAAGACACATGATCACAGAAAGGTTTGGAGTAACTCCGTTAGGAAGGCTGAGCCCATGGCTTTCAAGGCTGAATAAGGTCCCCTTTTCTCTCACCCTCTGGGGTCTGCAACACTAGCATGAGAGGGTTTTCTTCTCTGGCTGGATTGAACCCACGTCACAGGGTCCCACAGAAGCAGAGGGGAGGCCCACAGGAAGGTGTAGCACAGGAAGGTAGGCTGGTCAGCAGTGTAGTTGACAGGGACGCAGGGGACTCCGTGCATCAGCAGCTGGAGAGCAAACAGAAAAGAGTCATTAGCCTGTGAAACCTTACTAGGCAGGGACAACAGAAGAGAGAAAGGACACGCTGGGAGGGTCTGGAGGCTCAAGGTACTTCTCACAGAGATCAAGACAAGCCTGGTGAATATAGTGTGATACTGTCTAAATAAATATGCTGAAACATCCTTTTTGTTGCTGTCTTTTTTCCCAGACAGGGTTTCTCTGTTTAGTCCAGGCTATCCTGGAACTCCCCTATCTGCCCGCCTCTGCCTCCCCAGTGCTTGGGATTAAGGCATGCACCAACATCACCTGGCCTTTTTTTTTTTTTTTTTAACAAAAATATCAATGTACTTCTCAAGCTTTCAACCAACAAAGGTTGCCTTCCTAGCCCTGAACTTGGTTTATCAGCAAAGCTCTAAACTTGGCTTGCTTTCACATCACCCTGAAGTCGGTTGTTTGTTCTGAAGTGCTAGGGATGACAGGCAAGTACTCTCTCATGTGCTACATCACCAGCCCTTGGTTGAGACCACTATGTATAGCTTGACAAATACATGAGTTACTAGGGATGGAGCCTAGATCCTTGCTCATGCTAGATAATTGTTCTGCCACTGAGCCAGGCCTCTTTAGTTTTTGAGACAGGGCTGAAGACATGGCTCAGTGGTTAAGAGCACCGCCTGCTCTTCTAGAGGTCCTAAATTCAATTCCCAGTAACCACATGGTGGCTCACAACCATCTGTAATGAGATCTGCTGCCCTCTTCTGGCACAAAGATCTACATGCAGATAGAGCACCAGTACATAAATCTTTTTTTTAAAAAAGCTTTTGAGACTGGGTCTCAAAAAGTGGACAAGAATGTCCTTGATCTGTAGTTCAAGAAGGCCTCAAATATATGATCATCCTGGAGTTAGCTGAGATTAGAGCCTGTATAGCCAGGACTACAAGAAAAAAACTTGCTTTATTGGAGAACAAAGCCAGATCTGAAGGTGCTAAGTGAGCAGTCCAATAAGCAGTCTCATCTGCAATCCTGGAATTGACATTTTTTTTTCTTGGGTTGAGATGGGAACTCAAATATTCCAGGTTGGCCTCAAACTCACTTTGTAGCTGAGTATGACCTTGAACTTCTAATCTGTTTTCTTTGACTTCCCAAGTACAGGTGAGGGCCACCATGATCTGCTTTCCTTTCTGAATTGGATTTGTCTGTGTTGCCCAGACTGATCTTCAACCACTGGGCTCAAAAGATCCTTTCCCGTCAGCCTTCCCATTAAGTGGGTTACAGACACATGCCAATGGCAATGAAGTTTTCATTTCCGACACTAAAGCCCCATACGAGTGTCTGTAGACCAAAAACTAGGGGACAGAGCACACATAGGGAAGATTTAGGGCACTATCTGAAGTCACCCACAACTAGTAAAAGACAGACTTCTATGAATAATGTCTTATTCAAAAACATTTTAAGTAAAAATAAAAACATGCAAACACATATAGCACATCTCATTCACCTTTATTGAAAAATGACAGGATGCACCTGGTAGATGAATTAATTTGTTTAGAGAAAGCAGAAGCAGCCCAGCCCAGTGCCACCCAAGCCGCAGCATTTGCAGCATTTGCCAAACCAGCTCATCTAGGGGATTGTTGTACCCCATCACACCTGTTAGGAATCAGAAACAGGGAAACGAGCTACAAAAGAATTGGTAACTTTAGGAGAGGGTCTCACATAGCCGGAAATGGCCTTAAACGCCTAATCATCCTTCCGGCATTTCCAACTGTTGAGACTGCCCCTGGTCGTCCAATCCTGCCTCCATCTCTTAAGTGCTAGAATTCCAGGTCTGTGCCATTCCAGGTCTTGCCCTCGACAAACAAGACTTTGTAATTTTCAGACACACCACAAGTGGGGGTGCGAAACAAGACGACTAACTTTTTCACTTGACAGGGCTTGTGACTTAGAAGTTAAGGGCTAGTGGCGAAACTCCGTATTGCAGTGACCGCCCGGGCGCGCGCGCGCGCGCGCACACACACACACACACACACCCTAATCATTTAAAAATTAAACCAGCTGGACGTGGTGGCGCACGCCTTTACTCAATCCCAGCAGAGGCAGGCGGATTTCTGTGAATTCGAGGCCAGCTTGGTCTACGGGACAGGCAGGGCTACACAAGAGACAGCCTGTCTCTTGAAATAAGAAATGAGACAAATCCGCTTCGATGGGTGCAGCAGGTCTCGGGCCAAAAAACACCAGCTCGGAAGTTAGCCAGACCCACACCAGGCCGCGGGAAGGCCGTGCTGCCGACCCGACCCCTGCACCGTAGTGCGCGTACTGTGCACCCTCGCCGCGGCTCCCATCGGGCTCGTGTTTTCGCTAAGCCTCTGCCTTCCTTCCGGACCCCCACGCCTACCAAAGTCGGAGGAGCACAGCGGAGTCTACAGACCAGCGCCTGTGTCTGCGCAACCGGCGGAACCCGGCAGGCAGAGGCAAAGCACCCGGTTCCGGGATTGGAGGGACGCGGGGCGGCACTTCCCAGCGGGCCAATCACAGT